ACAAGCCATACTGAATCCTCCGTGTTTCGCAGCGATGGATGGTCCATATGTGTTGCAATATAACTGCTTTAGGTAAATCGTGTACCAGTGCCCTGCGAACTTGTCGACTGCTCATGAAAAATCCGTACCCATCAATGAAGAAGCGTCTATCGGTGGTGTCATCAGTACGCTATGACCCAGTTATGAACATGATATCCGGATTGAGATTAAATACAAACGACTGGAGGGCGTAGCTTTAACTGTAGGAAACGAATATTGACAGGATATAATGTGATGGATCGGAGACACGTGGCTAGAGGTCAGGTTGGCGCTGTACATCTTGTAAACTGAGATACTGTATCTAACTCTAAGCTGGAAACTGTCGGAACAATGCCTGCATGGGGTTATTGCCATGACATGAATAGGAGGAGGGCAGGGGGCGATGTTCGAAACTGTGTATGGCCAAACGGAAAATGATCAGATAACCATATATATATATATATATATATATATATATATATATATATATTTGCAACAGTCTATGAATAGACATTGCACCATCGGAAACCATGGAACTCAAAACAAGGTACAGAAATAGTAAAAGAAAACACAACACAACACAACAATGCCTTTGACTTGGCAGAAGTTTATGGAAGGAGTGTAACTGCGAAGGCCACTCACACCATTTTCACTGAGGGGCAATGATACGGAATGCTGATACGCCTGCGAATGTGTTTCAGTAAACTGGTTTTCGGTCAGCTTAATCGGGTCTGACCAATTGCAATCATCACCGCTACTTCACCTCAATCGTCTTTGCAAATCAATGTCATTGGATATTCCTAAGTGTCACCAATTTACGCAAGTGTCAATATGCGGCTCATGGAAGAAGTGTAGTAGTATTGTGACTGTTTTCCTCTAAATTGTGAATTACAGAAAGAAGGCCGGTAATAGGGTTCGAAAGGGCAGTAAGAGTAAGAGTTGGAAAAGATAGGAAGCCCCAGCAGTACTTTCGCTCATCCGCCCTGCGGCATGTAGCAGCTATGGTGGCCCATTTAAGGCTGCGCGACGACCGATGGTCAGTCACTGTTTGTGTTGAGGTGTGTCGACTGCTTATGATGACCGCATTTATGATGGTCCTGTAATCTGTTTAAGATGGATTTACTGTGAACTTATCAACTGGACATAGGTACCAACTTATCTCATCTATATTCCTCTTCCGGTCATCTTACCCATGTGGTGCTGATTGTTATAAAGAGTGTTGCACCTTCGCACTCAGCGGAGACAGTAGGTATTTAACATTTGGCCAATAAAGAACTGGCAAGATTCCACAACCTATGAGTAAAAACAACAAAAGAGGAGGAAAAGAAACAACCAGCAAAAAGGTTAGGAAGGTTTATGTGTTGCGTTGACGGTGAGCTTCTCGGTTGCCCAGACCGATGAACAGGGCTGACTTAAAAGACTTAACCCCACCCTATGATCTTAACGACCTGACCCACAAGGCAGCGGGGCGATTCACTGACGTTTCTGATTAGAAAGAGTGTTGACAAACTGGTGGCACATTTGCCTTCTTTGTGTTCGGTTGCAGTCCACACAGAAGTTGGTGACCAGCAACTCAGTCGTCTACTTTTTCCTCCAAACTCACTTCCCATATACTTCATAACACAGCTCCTGTCGTTACTTTCGGTGATGAGGCTTTTCTTTTGGGAACGTAAATGTCCCCTTCGTTGGCTAATGGTATAACACAGAATGAATCTGGAATTAGAAACGACGTTTAACTCCTCCTAAAATAATGCACCAACGTCAACTGTATTAACGTAAAGGCATATTTTAAAGTGAAGTGTTATTTTCTACTCTGATTGTACCAAGTATATATTGTCACCTTACCACTAACGCACTTTTCGATGAAAGTATAGTTCAGGTACGCGGCATTCTTTTGTTGGCACTTATTGTGGACAAGTTATTCGAATTCAATTTACTTGAATTAAATGAAAAACAAGGAGCTGTTTCTTCCTTCTGCTATTGTTGCCTTACCAAGAAGAAAGGAGGACAAATGCTTGTCCTTAATCGGTCAAGCAAGACAACCTTTGAAATGAACTAGTGACACGTGTAATTAGCAACTACGAGTGACGTAACTTCTCCATGATTGTGTGTTCTAAATCAGCGGCACTGTTTATTCGTACCATTTGCAGGTCCGTTGCTTTCACAGTGATTAAACCTTGCCAAGATGACTGCAACCAGTTTCGTATAGCAATACATGATATCAATATCATCTTTTCATATAGTCCAAAGCCACCACAAGTTCACGGTGCATGTTGTTGAGATTTCGGTATCCTACAGGAAAAGCTACAGCTCTGTAAATTTCGGACCTTTGCATATAAGGAATGATTAAGGATACCTTCAATCTCATAATTTCAGCAGCTCATATCTTTCGGGATATTTGTTTCTGGAGTGAGAACAAGTCGGAATTCAATGTGCACCGTGATACGATCGAAAGTGCTCTCTTCGGACACAATTTACCAGAGGTTGACGTATCGTTATTTTAGATAATTAATAAGTAGTGTTGTTTGCTATCAGTGGTCATAAACTTCCTTGATATTGTAACACAGCTTACAAACTCTTAGTTAAATTTGTTATATATTTCCTTCCTGATGAAACAAAGCTATTGAACAAAATTATTTGTTCAGAATACCATGGGCGTCTGTTTTGCACGCATACTGCACAATGGCAGTGAAAGTTAATACCCAACTCGCCATTCAGTAGACAGGCCTTCAACCTTACTTCTCCTATACGAATTGTTGTCAGACGACCTGTTAATTGGCCACATTTGCGAGGTGTGACGCCTAAGCGTTGTGTACTCTTCTTCTTTCCCAGTGTTCAGTCTTTGGTAACTTCACACTGGCGATTGGAGTAGAAACTCGTTAGCTGCTTGCGTAAGCATTTGTTACAACGCCCGAGAGAATTAAGGAGGGTTCCATATGCATTTAGCTTGCAAAATGGGGTTTGGAAACTGAACTCTTATGCCGTACACTAGTTTGCATGTATGTAAAATTAACCTTGCGGACTCCATAAATATTGATTGTTTACCATGACAACCTAGAATATACTGTGATACATTTCTGTGTGCAACGACTATGTCAGTCTCTCATCAACTATACTTCAGTGTATGCCATACTAGGACAGTGCATGGTGATCATTTTACTGTGTTGTCGAAAGGCATTCCTCGCATTTGACCAAGTGCCACAGCATTGGATGGGTGCTTCATTCGCCCACCTTGTTCCCTTTCCTTCTTTCATCCTTCCCCTTGGAAAACCCACTCCAGCAGTGCACTGGCATATATACAGGGGCTTCTCAGTAGCGCATCTAATACCAAACAGGCTGTTTGTGGCGATCATCTGCTGTGGTACGTTTATGTCAAGTTTAGTGTTAGGCAACAATGAACAAGTAACTCGGACATCAAGGTAAGATGCAACGTTATTCGGATGAACTCGATCAGCAACTGACATGAACACCGCTTCTCAAGGTAGGTCATTTAAGGTACAATATTAAGGGCACGGAAATTGGTTGCATTTTTCCTAAGCGGCTCGCTTACCTACACTTTTTACAAATGCAATATTTTTTAACGCATAACTCTGAATCACCATCAAGCAGTGACTTATCGGAGGTCACCAAACATTAGGACATTTAAGTGCCAAAAATAGAAAATGGCATGCGCACCGAACGTTTTTGTTTCACTTGGAATAACATATTTGACATTTACTGGGAATGGTATGTGGATGTCATGTCATGTTTAGGAATGAGCAGGCGAAGAGACATTTTAATACACTTTCCCCGAAGATGAGTTTAAATATGAAGGGCCACAAAGTTTTCGGGGCTGTTAAAACTAGTGCGCTGCAAAAACCGAGTTCAACGATGTTTATCAAATTGTTAAGGACCAATTACAAAGGCAGTTGCAATAATTCGTCTTGCGCGTAGCCTTACTAATCACAGCAACAAAACTACCGCTTACCAGTCTGAAGGAATGGAGTCTAGCAATTCGAACCACTGAACCTACTCAGTTATGTGTAGTGCTACGCATTGGGGAGGCCTACTTACAACTTTTGATGATTAAAGTCACCTTCACTATAGCTTGATGAATTGAAAGTTGCTGGTTGTTGGGCGCCGATTGGTCAGGTGCAATTGCCAGTTATCAGAAACCATCCAACACGTGGGGGTAACGCTTCTTACCTGAAGCCACTACGTAATATTTTCTGTTAAGCACAAGCACAAAAGTGGGGAAGGAATGCTAGAGTGACTCAGTCCTCCCTATTTGCACGACACTTACTCTATTCAAAGTAATACGTTAAGAATAAGTGCTTTGACGTTTACATGAAACATATTTGTCGTTAGACATTCTGAAATGAATCCGTGCTCGTTGATAGATCCGATATCAAGTTTTCCGCCATTGATTTATGGGTCAAGGGACTGCACTCGCATTTCCAGAGAGGTTTGGTGAAGTTGCCTAGTCCTATAATGAAATCTGCAGCTGAAACAACAAGTTCTGAGAGTAGCCGAGCACCTTAAATAAGGAGTGCAATTCTCTTCCCGATCAGTTATTGGCAGTAGAATAAGTAGCGGTATAGTACGGACAAACGATGCGTACTTGCCTCCTTACGTAATCGATGGCAGTGTTAACCTTTGTGTCGTTGCGAACATCACAAAGGTGAAGTCTAACGGTTGATAAAATTATTTTGTCTACGGTATTCTCACTCATACCATCCTGCTGGAGTAGTTGAGCTTTAGCTTGTATTAAACCAATGTTCCACAGTTACCTAATGATGCAGTGGGACAGTTCCTGGCAGGTGCGGAAAGTACTACAAGGTCTGAAGGCAAGATAGAAACACAATGGACTCCTTTAGCCTACTGCAACCTTTTGAGAGAAATCCTGTATGTGATGTACTATCGAAGAGTCTTAGTACGTTCAGAATGGAAATCGAAATAGGCTCTAACCGAACTAGCCTCGACTCGTAATAAGAACACCCGAATTGGAATTCAAATTTCGCGGGTATGTATGCTAAGTCAATGGGCGAAAAAGCGTAACAATATTCAACTGTAAAGCATTGTATGTACAATCATCACAAAACTCCTGCCACACGTTTGCTTTTCACTGTGATCCTACTGCTTTTCTCTGGAGTACACAAGTGTTCAAGTCGTTATCTGCGTGAACCAGTCCGAACTCACGATTTTACTTTACTTGAGAAACTCAAGTTCAACTGTTAATAGAGAATTGAGACTTAAAATCAAATATTCTTGTAGTTACTTACCATATGAACTGTATTATGCAATGGCACTCAAGTCGGAGAGGACGCAGTATAGTACGCAAACCATACAGTACTTCATTTAAGGAAAATGCAAAGCAGTGCCGGGCACTTCTACCAACGTAAGGTGATTAATTGGTGCATGGCACGCTTTTCGGAATTGAGCACAAGGGATCGTACTGTTAGCGCCGATTGTCAAGAGTTGTTTTCCAAACTCCTGGAATGGTAAACACGGTTTACCACGTGCTTGAAAGCAAACGCAAAAACTGCCTTCGCCTGTTGACCGCTTAGCTATCGATTTGGACTTGTTTCGGCTGGCCCCAAATCAGCTGGCATTTGCACCGGTGCTTTTAGGTAATGCCAACAGTTTGATTGGTGGTTACCACTTTGGTTGCTGAGCCAATAATCCAAGTTAAGAAACAGAAAGCGAGATTCGTCACAGGATGCACGCAATCCTCAAGTTCTTTGCTTTCAGATCTGTTCAGCCACCTGTATAAATACGCATTCCGAATGGTACAGCAACTAGAAACTTGTTATTCAGAGTAAGTGGTTTCAAACGCGAAGTACGCTATTTCTGCCTTCGTAACATATGACCAAATGATAAACTGTAATATTACATATATAGAGTTAATATTACTTCTTGCTTAAGTATTGACCAACTTCTAGTGATTAAGAACTGTAGTTCTTGAAAATTACATAGGTATTTTGGATGTGTATGATAGTCTTGTGCATAATTATTTGGGTTTCAATAGTACCAGTTCCCATAAGCCATGTTATGGATTTTCACAGGCTTAACGAATACTGTAAGAAAGAGTGGAGCACGGTTGGGAACGTCAACTCAGCTAAAGCTTTAGAGTAATATACAGTTAACGCGGAAAATATGTCTATGCTTCTCCTTATCGATGGGTAACAGTAAACAGGGATGATGCATGTTTGCATCTAGAGTCGCAAAGCAGTGTCTTAGTTGCTTCCACTAGTGTGTGCATCAAGGGATAGAGTTCTGTTCCCTCTGCTGACCACCAAAAGATCCTGAATTATAGAGTAAAGGCATTTCATATCCGTTTCAACTCTATTGGAATTTTATATCATCAGTGATGACATTAACTCACCTTCCTAAAATCGTGAAAGTACATCCACCTCTTTCAACGAAGCCAGAATTTCCAGCACTGTTATACGACATCAGTCTCAATCGGATACTGGACGCATCGATTATCCAACTTAGAGCCTCAAAATGGGGATGATTCCAGTACTGGTGCCTGATGTTTGGAGAGGAAAGTACCAATGTTCCTAACACTCAGTTGCGACTACATCGACTTAGAATTATTTCAACGCAAATTGTGCCCAGATTACAAATTTGCATAGTAATGCAAACGCAACATTTGTACTTCAGCATCAAAGGGTACATGGACATCACAAGTTCCAAGTCCGAATACTTGAGAGTGCTTTCAAAAATGTAACTTTGTTGGATTCCCGTAGCTTTCTAGCAAGTGCCGACCTGTGGCCTATATCTACTTGTGCCGCGTAGTAATCCGGAGGTCAAGAGTTCGAATACGCGTTGGCGTGGGCGGCCTCGCGGTATATCCGACAGTTGAGTGACAGTTGGTGGTGGCGTTGGGAAGTAACGTGGGTACGGCGTGCCGACGTACTGATTGATGCCTGTTCCTTTACTCTAGTAAGTGCAAACGATCCCGAAGCTGAATGAGCTTGCTTTCATTAGGTTGTGTGGTAATAGGCAATGGTACGGAAAAGCTGCAACTTATGCTTCTCGTTAAGATTTTGTGGACGAGACTAGCCACTTAAAAACACAATAAGACCAGTTAGATATTAGGTGTTGCCTGTCCAAAAACAGTCATTAATACTATTGATTTTTCGCTTAAACCAGTAAGAAATCAATTTATCACGCGAGGACCGCTGCACATGCTTCTGGATATTTGGAGCGATGGCAAACAGTAATTACCGGTCTACCCAAATTTGGTCCCCTCATTAAAAAGTTAGCTAATATAGTGAATATCAGCACTGATCTCAACCGTGTACTTTATCCAATGTGGCACGTTATCCCAACAACTTAGCCGGGAGATTTACCCCCGAACCTTTGTAAAACAGTGTTATTCTTTTCAGTAATGATCAAGCGAGAAGACACCTTGCTTCATCAAATCTTCGAGGACCTCCTTTTTACGCACAAGGATGGTCTACCAGAAAAGACCGCCATATGGCATATCCCTGATCCTCGACAACTACTGGTCTCTCCCACGGGGACAGCGCTTGCTGATGAGTGCCAGTATTCCATTGACTGGACACCGGATACGAAGACGTCCTGCGACATTCAGTCCATTACCTTCAGTGAACTAAACTTAACGGCTTCACATTTGGCCAAGCAAATAAGCAAAGCGCTACGGAAGTTTAATGACAAGAATCCAGCTGATTGTGTTTCCGCATCCTCCGACGGACCAAACGATGAGCGACACGCTCAGGCGCATTCAGTAATTGCTATATTTATGCCTCCCGGAATCGACCGAATTGTCACCCAGGTTGGTTTACTCAATTACCGTTTTACTGAATACACTTACAATCTGGGTTTGCCATTTTGTTAAGTAGAACATGCACAACGTGCACCTCGAAATCTGTATCCTATAGTGTAATATTTCTAAGGATGTCAAACTGATATACAGAAGAGAATCATCATATTATGCCACGTCATATCGTAGTTCAGAAGTGCAGAGATAATGATGAAGGCGTCAGCCTTTAATTGTTAGCCACAGAGTTCCACCCCAGCTCATCCTATCTCTATCTAGTGAGTCCAAAGGAGGATGAAACAGATTATGAGGTTTCAGTGTTGGGAGGAGCAACATGGAAACAGCTTGTAGCTCGGGTGATCTGTTCAGATTTTGTTCTGTTCTCCGAGCTGAACAGTTTCGTTGCAGACGTTTCATCACCAGTCGTGGTGAATTCCTCAGTGCGTTATAAGCAAACTGATTTGTTTTGTCGATTCTTACCGACGAGCTAGTGACCTGAATCGAACTGAGCAGGTTCAAATGTCACTCGCTCGTCGGTAAGAATCGACAAAACAAATCAGTTTGCTTATAACGCACTGAGGAATTCACCGCGACTGGTGATGAAACGTCTGCAAGGAGACTGTTCATCTCGGAGAACAGAACAAAATCTGAATGGAAACAGCTTTTGCATCAATGGAACGCAATACGATGGAAGCCTTTAAAAGAAGTCCCGATTTGAACCGTTTCACTGTGATTCCAGAAGTGCACTGAGATTAGTGGGTGCCAATTAGTACCAAATAGCACATGGTAGCTAGGACTTCATGACTAGTTTCATGAAGTTATGAGAGGTTGGCCCTACTCTTTATTGTCTCTACAGAAGTGAAGAAATTTGAACGTTGAAGTAACAGGTGCATTGGCCAGCTTAACGGCACAGGAAAGAGGCGATTCGTTGGGCGAAAACCTGTTTTTTCCCTGGAAACTGACCTAACCTAACCTCGCTTCTTTCTGCCTCGTGGTTCAGAGCTAGTTTAGCTACTTGTGAAACAGTACTTTGTGTACTTTTGTGCGCGTATGTAGGGAGTGGCAATAAGTTGTGTCTGTTGTACCCCATATAGTGTTTAACATATTATGCTTTGTTGTATCCGTCTTTTTAGCTTTTAGTTGTGAACATTTAAACAACTATGGCTATCAGTTAATGTGCCGTTGCTTCAGACGTAAAGGGTTAGTAAACTATTGCAGGTTCTGACTTCTTTAAAGACCTTGCGTTTACATGTGTTACGAAAACGAACCGTCTTGCCTGTGAAAACCAGATATGTCTTTTAACATATGCAAGCAATAGGGTGTGGCCGCGTTAAAATAAGATCTGACGAGAACCAAGCGCTTGCCGACCACTTGTATATGCCTGCATCCTGATCTTATCCCAGTATCCGAAGATACCTTCATCATTATCATGACACATAAGCTGAAGTTGAAACACAAATCAGCTAAGTGTGCAGCAATACAGAGTGATAAAATATGCATACTGCAAGACAACAAACAGTATATATTACACAAAACTGGTACCAAACGACTCAGTAACACATAGTGCTGCAGGACTGAGGTTGTGATTGGAGGAATAGCGTAAGCTGGATGGAAAAGGACTAAGAACTTCACAACACAAACGCCAACTGAGGTCGGCTCTTTGCCATGTTAAATGGAGTATCCAAACAAACGTAGTCGGTGCACAGCCTGGCAGTCTTGAGACACCAACCGAAGCCACCTTCGAAGTAAGGGCTTTCATTATTCCTTAACCAACTCACAGCTTGGCCTCAATTCCTCTTCTCCCATCCACACCCACGGCGCACAAACAGAAGCTGTACGCCGGCACGTTTGATGCCAAGTGATCACCGCCGGTCTCGCGTGAGCTGAGTATATTGCGAGGACGCCCGCCCCGACGCGGATCCGAACCGGTGACCTAGGGATTGCAAGCTAGGCACACAATCCTTTCAGCCCCGGTCGACGCTGAAACAACGCACCTCGAGGGAGTAGGTGTGTTGGCTTGCGCAACATGTGGCTCAGCCACCGGAGGCTGGTGCGTGATGTAACGGGGCTGAGTGGTTCACTCGCTCTTTCTGCACCAAATGCGAAGCATAACAGTCATTGTTAACGCGGTGCATCCATCAAACATGAGCTAATCTGCTAAGGCAGCGATGCTCAAACGTAATAAGCCTTTTTGTGTTTGTCGACTTGATGGGCAAGGATTCGCAACCGTACAGAAGTGTTGAGCTGACGGCTTCATTGTAAACTCTGCTCTTCACGGCGAGAGTGGTGTCGCGCGGACGTCCCAGTTGGTGGAGATTGACGAAAGTACCTCGGGCTTTTGTTATAGGGTTCGTGATTTCATCTTCCATTCCACTGACGCTGAGCTAGCAGCCAAAGTACTTGGATGTATGGACGATCACCACCAACGGTCAGCGCAACGGTGGGTACCTGCCAATCTTGGAAGTGTTTAAATTTCGACAGTACAAAGCGTACCTAATAAAGACTGACAGCCAATGCTACTTTGTCCACTGTCACTTGTCACGTTTGTGAGCTGTCACAGATAAGAGTAAGATCGTCTGCGCATTCCAAGTTAAGAGGTCAAGCTTTTGAATACAGCTCCATGCCTTGCAAATGTGTCTAGTGAACGCAATCTCTATGCTTTTGTCGAGGTATAAGTTAAAAGGAAAAGTGACAACTCAGATGCTAGCCGCATGTCTCTGAATCTATTGAAGGGCGGTGACAGCTGGACGTAAGCCCTCACTCTGCCCAAACCATGCGCGTACAGTGCTCTGATAAACTTCACGTCTCCATCAGCAATACGTTTCCTGAGTAGACAGTCCCAAAAGGCACATCGATGAACTAGATGGAGGCCACTTTTAATGTTGGGGAACATGACTACCGTGGATTGCCGATAAATATAGTGATGCTTCAAGAACTACTTTTGCCTACCTATTTTTTATCTATTGGCAGTCGATATCGATAGGTAGAAAAAAGGATTCGATATGTGACATTCATTCGTGCAACACACTTATGGACGAAATTGCAGTTATAGGGTAAGCCTATACTATTTCAATGACACCCAATTTTCGGAATACTGGGTCGTAATGGTAGGCCAAAATATCATTTTAAGCTGTGTCACTGGTTCACAGTTGAAGTGAAGAAACCGCTATGTCCGTCAGCCTTCCCTTTATGCACTTGAATGATTTTGGAATGAACCGTAACCTGGAAATTTATTTCAAACTAACTTAAGGTACATTGTGTGTCCGGCATACGCGAACGCACATAATGGAGCATGTTTTCTAGTGCAAAACTTCATAGGCTAACTAGATAGGATAACGTTCGTTTTTGATTGCTCTTGGATCAGTCGTTTGCGGTGTCACGTATTTGGACAATGGAGGTTTTCCAGCTTGCTACGCTGAAGTCATTACTTCATACGGTGCACACCGTTGTGAAGAACCGGTTGAGATTATCGAGACCATTTGCTTTAGTCTGTTTAACTTGTTTCTTTACATTAGAATTTAGGTCCGATTCAATAGAAAACTAATTAAACCCCTTCTATGGGGATGTAGATTGTTGTACTATTGGGTAACAAGATAGATAGAGAGAGCAAATAAACTACCATACCTACCGAAGCGCGCTTCTCTTGGCTATCGCAGGTTGCAACATGACGAACAAAGGCAATGAGGCACTAAGCGGCTTCAGTTGCTCCCTGCATAATCCCGGGAGTGTTGAAAGACTAACCTACCGTGTACTTGGCATCCGTTAACAATAGTGTAGATCATGAAGCGAACCAAAACATTGATTATGTGGAAGACAACGAGCTTGAGAACCATCAGCTGGTCTCGGTGAGAGCCAACAAATTTCTCCTTCATCATCTTGTGAGGTTGGGCACTGCCTAGACTAGTAAGCTGACATAGTGTACGACGCAGTGAGGAGAACAAACTGTTGCTGAATACCTAGTGTGCATTGCTGCTTAAACTGCGGAGCTCCTTCCATTTCCATTCCTACTTCTAATACCTAACTGATCTATGTGGCCAAGCCAACTTGCGTTGTCTGGTAATCCTATCGTTTTGCTAAGGCGGTTAGGTAGTGACGAACGGGTTTCTTAACATCACACTTGACTTGTGAAGCAGACGAACATCAATTGTCTCCCACCGAAACAAGTACATTCTAAGGCCGGTTTCTTAATTGTTTGCAACGAATTCACATGGGAATAAATCACCATCAGGGTATAGTTTTCACAGCGCAATCTAGTCACCTAACGCGTACTTCCAGTGTCCCGCTTACACATTTACATCTTCGAGCTCAGAGTTGTATTCCTTGCTTGAAAGGTACATGGATTAAGGACGTTGTATAGTACCACGCTGCACAGTAAATGAGTGGGTGGCGCAGGTTTCGAATGTTCCGCAAACATACTACAACTCTCATTTATATTTGAGTAATTTGTGCTTGATATCAAACAGATCCCGAAATTTGGTAGGCTACGACGGCTAATGAAGTTATCCGGCGGTGAAATGTTTTTAATCTAAAAAACGAGTAAACCCATTACCACATAAACAAACACCATATCATACCTGTTTACTAATGATTCTATTGCTAGTAATACACAACAGAAAGGTTTGTGATCTACTGTCAGGCTGGTTCCATGTGGACAAGTTAGCTCGTTTTCTATTCCCAAACTGATTGTATCGTAACGTAAATAAGTATTGCCAGACAGCACCAGTCTGCGCGATGCAACTATAGTAAACAACCCACAAAATGGTTTCTTGCCGAGTATGCGGTGATTCATGGTTTGCCCAGGTAACAAAACAAGTCAAGGTCACTGGGATATGTGATCATCAGTTGGCATCCCCTTCTTTGTTCCCAGAATTTAGACTTCGAAGGTCACACATGTTGTCTGGCGGACTGATGGTTGTTCGTGTGGGTTGACGCTTAGCCCGAGGAAAATCAAGTGCAGGAGATAAGGTGAGATCGTAGCTCCCGACTGTGCTTAGCAACACCCACGATAACACAAT